AAGTATATATGATTTTTATGTAACATGTGATTTGCTTATATTAAGAACAAAAGAGCCACATGTTCAAGCAAGTCAAACAAGATATATTTTAAAATTTAATAACCCCCAACCAATCCCACCCATTCTCACAATGGTAGCAGTCTGGTATAGTCTCCCATACCTTTCTTTACATATCTACACATGTATGCTTTTTCCCTTTCTTTCTTTTTTTTTCTTTTGTTTCCAAAAATGACATTTTACTATACACATTACTCTTCAGTATTTTTTATACTGAAGAACATATCATGATTTCACTCTTGGTCAGTAGACATAGCTACATTCTTTGTAACAGCTGTGAAATATCCGAGATGGATTTACCACAAATTATTTAACTCTTCCCTTATTGATGGACATTTAGGTTGTTTCTCATTTCCTGCCTGTACAAACAATGCTGCACTAAAACTCCTTTTTAGAGTTTCTTATGTGAAGTATAGTATTTTATTTCTGCTCCCCCCAAACGTGGGATTGCTAGGTTAAGGGGTAAGCATATTTTAAAAAGTCAATAGATATTAAGAAACTACTTCCCTAAAATTTGGTGACAATTCACTTCCCCATCAGCAATGTAAGAGAGCACCCTCTAACTCACATCCAGGCCAGCAATGAACATCACTGTTGTTGTTCTGTCAGTCTTATGGGGGAAAACGGTATTTTCTTGTTGTTTTAATTTACATTTCCCTAACTTCTTAGTAGGTTGGACATTTTATCATATGCTTATTGGTGATTTAATTTTTTCTTCTTTGAACTGCCTGTTCAAATCTTCTGTTCATTTTTCTATTAGGTTGCCTTTTTATTATTAATTCTTTTTTTTTTATTTTTATTTTTTGTTTTATTTTTTTTGTGAGGAAGATTAGCCCTGAGCTAACATCCATGCTAATCCTCCTCTTTTTGCTGGGGAAGACCGGCTCTGAGGTAACATCTATTGCCAATCCTCCTCCTTTTTTTCCCCAAAGCCCCACTAGATAGTTGTATGTCATAGCTGCACATCCTTCTAGTTGCTGTATGTGGGACGCGGCCTCAGCATGGCCGGAGAAGCGTTGCGTCGGTGCACGCCCGGGATCCGAACCCGGGCCACCAGTAGCGGAGCGTGCGCACTTAACCGCTAAGCCACAGGGCCGGCCCTTATTATTAATTCTTAGGAGTTGTTTTGTAAATTGAACATATTAACCCTTAACACATGACTTGATTACTCCCCATATCTCTTTGTGTAGTTTCTGTCGATTTTGATATCTTTTGTCATAAATAATTTTTAAAATTTTTATGTAGTCAAATATGTCTTTCTTTTCTTTATGGCTTCTGGATTTATTGTCAACCTAATGGCCTCCCCTACCTCAGATTATACAGGTTATATGCTTCTTAATTGTATTTTTCTCTTTTCCTTCGCTTTGGTTTTTTTAAAGTTAGACCTTTAATCTATCTGGAATCTTTTTGTGTGTGTGTGTGATGTACAGTCTTTTTCTTTGTTTGGTTTCTTCCAAATGGATAGCCAATTATGATGGTAACATTTATTAAATAAACATTCTTTCCTCACTAAATCGAAATACCATTGTGTCATAGAAAAAGCTCTCATGCATAGTTGGATTGTTTCGGTCCTCTCTATTCTTTCCATGAATGTATTTTGTTTATTCCTGTGTTACTAACTTGCTTTGAATAAGGCAAGTCTCCCTTCACTTCTCTTTCAAAATTTTCTAGGTTATCCTTAGATATTTGTTATTCTACATAAAGTTTAAGACTCCCATTGGACTTAAAAATATATTAAACATAAACATTAGTTGGAGAGGGAAAGATTATTTTTATATTAATTTTTCTTTTTCAGTAACATGGTATCTTTCTAACCATACCATGTTTTCTAGTAAGATTTTATAGTATTTTACATATTCTACACATAGATCTTATATTTTCATTGTTTAATTTATTCCTAAGTATTTTATAGTTTTTTATCCATATTATAAATGGATTCTACTTCTTATTCTAAGTCGTAATTTCTAGTATAGGCAAAAGTTATTGAATTATGTGTGGCTATGTTATATCCAGCCACCTTTCCAACTCACTTATTACTTCTAGTTGTCTCTTGGGTTTCTAGACATACATTATATGATCTGTAAACAGAAATAAAGAATCACAAAGTCTCTACTATTTATACAGATTTTTTTCATTATCTTGTATATTAGCTAAAACCTCTAAAACAAAGTTGAATGACAATGGTAGCAAGCATCAATGTCTTATTTATTATGTTAATGGAAATGTCTTTAGTATTTCACAGTTTAAGCTGATGTTTGCTGTTGGATGTTGGTAAACATCAGAGCCACCACTTCAGATGTGGAAGTATATAGTGCACAATGGAGTCACATCTAAGAGGAGTTTCTTTTCTCCCAATGTATTGGAATAGTTTAAAGGATCTGTTCCTTGAAGTTCAAAGGTAGAAAACAATCTGGACTTGATGCCTTTTTTCGTGATAGATTTCAAATGACCTTACTAATTTCTTCTAATGTTATTGGTCTATTTAGGTTTTCTGATTCTTCTTGGATCAAATTTGGTAGTCTATATTTGGTATGAAAATAATCCTTTTTTCTTTCTTTAAGATTTTTAAATATATTACCATATATTAAAATTTAATAATTTGTCCTAATTTTAAAATATTATTTGTGCCTATGATTATATTTCTTTCTCATTCTGAATGTTGTTTTTTCTCAATCAGGATTGCAATGGTTTATCTATTTTATTTTAGTTTTTTAAAGAACCAGCTTTGCATTTCATTTATAATTTCTCCTATTTTTTATTTATAGTTGTAGTAGGCTGAATCATGCCCCATCCCCCAAGATGTCCATGCCCTCATCCCTGGAAGCTGTGAATATGTTATGTTATATGGCAAAAGACACTTTGCAGATGTAATTAAGGTTCCAGATCTTATGACTGAGGATAATCCTGGATTATATGGGCAGCCCAATCTAATCACATGAGCCCTTTTAAAAGCAGAGAACTTTCTCTAGCTGGAGGAAGAAAAGACGAGGAGGAAGGAGAAGTCAGAGAGATTGCAAGCCAGTGAGATGGATTCAATGCACCGTTGCTGGCTCTGAGATAGAGGGGGCCATGTGCAAGGAGCAGAGAGAGGACTATAAGAGCTAAGGACAACCCTCAGCTGACAGCCAGTGAGGAAATGGGGATCTCAGTCTTACAACCACAAGGAATTGGATTCTGCCAATAACCTGAATTAGCTTGCTAGCTGATTCTAACTCAAAGCCTCCCCATAAGAGCCCAGGCTGGCCAACACCTTGATTTTGGCCTTGTGAGACCTCGAGCAGAGAAACCAGTCAAGCCAACCTGGATTTCTGATGTACAGAAACTGTGAGGTAACAAAATTGTGTTGTTTTAAGCCACTAAGTTTCTGGTAATTTGTTACAGCAACACTAGAAAACTAATACAACTGTTCATGAATTTTTTTTTTTTTGTCTTTATTTTCTTGGTGTCTTTTGCTGCTCTCCTCTAGTTTCTTAAGTGTATACTTAGTTTATGTGTTTTAAGTCCCCTCCACAAAAAAATAATAAAAGCATGTAAGCGTATATTCCTCTAAGAACTATTTTAGCTAAGACCCATAGGTTTCTGAATAAGTATTCTCTTTTTTTGCTAATTCCTAGATAGGAAATTTCTTGATTTTACATATTAAGGTACAGAGCAGAGTATAAGTTGGTTTTTAGAAAACCTAGATTAAAAGGTATTTCTGGTGTAGAAAGCTTTTTTTTAGCTTTAAAAGCTTTTATTATGATCATGATGATTATAGAAGAAATGCACGTGTGTTTAGAAGATATAGAAAGTGAAAAGAAAAATAATCAACTGGATCCAGCCACCTAGAGGTCATCACTGTTAAGGTTCTGGTGCATATTTTTTCAGATGTTCAGAGAATGCCTTGGCATATAACTAACTCAGTAAAGATATTTTATTCAGTCCATTGTAACTACTGTACTGAGAACCACAGAACCTTCTCATATGGAAGCTATGTAGAGTTTGGGTGGTTTCCACTCTGTTGCTCAGAGGTACAGCCCTCCACTAAGGATGCTCCAATACAGGCTGAGTGATCGTGGGGACATTGTGGAAACAGCGGAACCAAGTGCTTGTGGGGAGGGCCCAGGACCTGGACAGACCTGGGCCTGAGTTTCACCTCTGCCATTAGCTTTATTTAAAAGCCTTTCTTTAAGAAGAAGAAAGATGGTAAATAAATGACTGGTAAGAGGTCCTTTTTTTAAGAGGTCATACATTCATATATTTTAAGATATGCCTTGGGGTTTTGTGGATTCACTCCAGTTTCTTACTTCTCCTATATCCACAGAAAAATAAAGTTCACGATGATGTCCCAATCAGGTAGCTGGACGTATACTGTACTAACTAAGGAAGGAAAGTGAATCGACACAGTTTAAAAAGATTTTTCAACAAACGTGGTTAACACCAAAGAGACTCAAAGTTAGCCTTTACTTTAGCGACCTAGAACAGCCAGATCTCTATCACACTCTGTTAACTTACTGTTTAAATACAAAGCTCTCAAGAGTATGTGTTTTTAATAAGTAAAGAGAAGATACAGGAAAAATAAAATAATCACTGAGCCTTCAAAATCTAACAAAGAGATGTAAATTCATCTCTTCACTCATAAAGTTAAACTAGAAAATAGAAGTGACAGAGAATGTGGGAAAGAAATCTATAGCTCTTGCCTATGCTAGTTTACTCAGCACACGGAACTTAAAGTTCAAACAGTGGCAATTTCCCTACATACGTATGTCCATATTTAAAATCTCACAGACTGTGAGTTCTGCAGTTCTGGTGCCCCCTCAAGGGAAAATATAATGGCAAGAAATATAACAAGGACTAGTGGGAATAAGATGATTTCCAAGAAACTATGAATGCATAGAAAACATCTACAGTATCTGATGGTTTTACTTTTTATATATTGTTTATAAATATACTGAGACACCGACCTGTAACATGTAGAGTATGACAGCTATGAGTCCAATCCAGCTGTGCAGGCTGTACATATTGGGGATACTCCTGGCATTGTGGTAATCAAAAACGGCCACCAGAGAAATTATTGCAAGAATGGCAGCAACGGTGTTTAACCCCGCATGGATGGATTTCATCAGGAACTTGCTGCATTTCCAGGTCCATGGCAGTCTGTATACGATGATGGCTAGGGAGAGACAAAAAGGGACAGAATGTACGAATGTGTGTGTTTTTAAATCAACACGAGATGAACAGTTTGGCAAACTGAACACTCCCTTCCATGAAACTCTTTTCTCTTCAGCGTCTCCCCTCTTCCCTGCCTCTTAGTGGTTTCTTCTTGGGCTCTTTTGCTGGCATCTTCTTTACTCCCAACTTGTGAATGAAACTTGGTGGCCCACAGGCTCTGTCCTAGGACTTTCTCCTCCCCCTACACTCTGTGCAGGTGATCTCATTCACTCTTTCACTGAAATGCTACCTACATGGCAGAGACTCCAAAATTTATGTCTCCAGCCCAGAACTTTCTACTGAACTCTAGAACCACATAATCCAATGGCTTCTTGACATCTCCCACAGATGTCTCCCAAATGTCTCAAACTTAACACATCCAAAACTAAGTTCTTAATCTTATGATCTAGTTTCTTTGTATAAGTGTCTTAGTTTGATTTTTTTAAAAAAAGGACAGACTAAGGAATAGAAAAATATGCAAAAAGATTTAAATAGACAAGAGTATATCCAAGTGGCCTATAAACATAAGAAAGATATCAACTTCAATAGTCAACACAGAAATGCAAATTAAAACTAAATGAGAATAGCCCTATCACACATCTAAATGGCTAAATACGGAAAATACCAATATTGGAGAGGATGTGAACAATTAGAACTCTCATGTTCTGCTGATGAGAGTTTAAATGAGAACAATTTGGAAAATTAGCAGTATCTACTTAAGCTAAACTTACGGATACTTTACAATCCAGCAATTCCACTCCTGGGTATATGCTCAAAAGAAATATGTACATATGTTCACCAAAAGACATGTACTAGAATATTATTAGCAGCACTATGTATAGTGACCAAAACCTGGAAACTCCCCAAATGCCTATTATCAATAGAAAGAATAAATAAATTGTGATATATTCAAACCACAGAATAATACACAGCAAAGAGAATGAATGATCTATAACAAGAACTTCACCCAACAATATGGATCAATGCCTAATGTCAATCCCAAGAAACCAGACATCAACAAGTATAGACTGGATGATTCAATTTATATGATGTATAAAAACAGGCAAAACTCTGGGGCTGGCCCAGTGGCGTAGTGGTTAAGTTTGTGCTCTCCACTTCAGCAGCCCAGGGTTCGCAGGTTTGGATCCTGGGCATGGACCTACATACCGCTCATCAAGCCATGCTGTGGTGGCATCCCACATACAAAATGGAGGAAGATTGGCACAGATGTTAGCTCAGGGCCAATCTTCCGCAGCAAAAAAAAAAAAAAAACCAGGCAAAACTCATCTCTGCAATAAGAAAAGTCAGGATAGTGGTTGCCCCCAGGATAGTGGTTGTAATGAAGGGGTATAGCTACTTGGAAGGGACGCACACAAGGGATTTCTAGGCTCCTGCTAATATTCTGTTTCTCGGTCTGGGTGCTGGTTACATAGGTGTTCACTGAGGGAAGATTCATTAAGCTATACATTTATATATACACCTTTCTGCATGTAGATTAAATTTCAACAAAAAGGTTTTTTAAAAGAGTTTTTTTGTGTATCCTGGTTTAAGCAATAGATTATATGGCCACCTTAACCAGCATGCAATTAATTTTTGTTCTGAAGACAATATCCTGCCCCTACTCACCCCCATCCCAACCCCTCCAATTCATGTCAGGGAAAATTTAGATATCTGGAAATGTGTAGCAGATTGAAAAGTTTAAAGAATACTTCCTTGGAAGATGCATTCCACTATCCACAGTGTATCATGCATATTTCTTAATTCCAGCAAGAAAAAAGAAAGCGCCTCTTCCCACCAAAGACATTTATTATTTGAATATATAAAACTTCATAGGATCATCAGAATGTAAGGGATTATCCAGTCCATTTTCAGGCAGAAACACATCTAAATCTACAAAGACAGATGTCAATTCAGCCTCTTTAAAGCTTTCAGCACAAGATGTCAATCTTCCTACTCTTTGGTTCCTTTGCAACTCTTGACAGCTCTCACCATTAGGACAGTATTCCTTTTATCTAATCCAAACTCTGACAGATTGCTACTTACTAATTTTAGTGCTCATATGAGTATCTTATAAATGTTGACTGATTATATTCCCTTGAGAACATGGAGACTTTTTTGGATAATCATTTCTATATTCAATGAATCTTTTCAAACCATTTAATGCAACACCTTACAGGTATACTTTTAAAAGCTACTTCAAGGCCCCTTCTCATCCCTACTTCACCCTCTCTGGGGGCAGGAATGTGACTTGCTGTTTCTCCTTGTATTCCCAGAGCCAAAAAGAGCCTTGGGCTCAAAGTATGTAGTTCCATAATTATTTTTTTTTAACTCTTATTTTGAGCTAATTGTAGATTCACACGCAGTTTTAAGAAATACAGAGAGATCACATATATTCTTTACACTGTTTCTCCCAATGGTAACATCTTACATAACTACAGTACAATATCACAACCAGGAAACTGACATCACTATAGTCCACTGACCTTACTCAGATTTCACCAGTTTTATTTATTTGTGGATGTGATCCTTAATATTTTTAAAGCACTTTTTGCAGACTGTCAAAGCAAGAAATCAATTGATGTCAACTCAAACACTGTGGTTTCCCCTCCTCATACTTTTCTCCTCTGATGATTCCATGGCACACTCTACAGGATTCTCTAGTTTTCAAAGAAAGCAAATGCCTCTTTACTCAATGACTTAGTGAGCTTTTATGCACACAGTGGAGCCTTTTGCAATCTGTCATCAGGTAGTAGTAAAATAAAAATGTGCAACATATGAAGACCTAATAACACATCTCCCCCTCTCCTGGTTTAGCTTCATTTATTACACACACTCATACACACACACACACACACACACACACACACACAAACTGAGCCCTTGTTCAGTAGCAGGCACCTTGCTAAGTGCTTTACATGTTTAGATTTTAATTCTCACCTCAACTCTGTGAAGGAAGTACAATTATTATTACCATTGTGCAGAGGAGGAAGCTGAGGCAGAGAGAGGTGAAGTAGCTGGCTCAGTCTCCATTAGTGTTCTGAAATTAATATTATTATTGTTATCATCATCATCATATCAGCCAAGCTCCACCCTGGGGGAAGGAATCTTAGATGAATGAACCTGAACACCTATATACAAAAAGGAAATACTCAGGATGTGTTTGTTTTTCAAATTGGTTGCACACTAGCTTTGCTTCTTGCAGTAGCATGAATGGAACACAATTCAATCTTTCATTGATGATTTGGGGTTATCAATACAACCCTGTCATATTACCAGAAGAGTAAGCCCCGAGAGGCTTCTGAAGCAGGAGGTGCTTGCCTCTGATCAAAATGGGCCCAGACAATTATGTACTTTTGGTCCCTGGGTCTAGTTTAGAGTTTTTCTATTTCTCTTTTTAGTTTCTTGCTCAAGTTGGGGTGCCTACCTCCAACCTCTCCCCTCCATCACCCTGCCTTATCTTTATTCCTACCTAAGTTCTAAGTTCTAGCTTATAAATTTTTACGTTGGCAAAAATCTTAATATCTGTGTTGTCTGGGTGGTGAGTACCTGGGGATCTGTTACATTATTTTCTGTATGGTTGAAAGAGTACATAATAGTGTTAAAATTAAAACAATATTTTTGTAAGCTTGCAAAGCCAATAGCCAGTTAGTCTCAACTACCAAGTAGGCAGCTTGTGGAAATCTGAGGGGCTCTCTTATGAGTCTGGCATGGAGTTTTCAGCTTCTATCCTGCCTACATAGAAGTTCTGCTGGATAGTTGAATATGCTTCAAAACGCTCTCAGGAGAAATGAAGGCTAACTGTAAAATGTTGCATTTGCATATGGTGTTTACATGCTTCTAAAAATGTGTAAATAACCAAAATATGGTGGACTTCAGGAGAAAAGGGCAACCTTAACAAATCAAACCACATTTCTTAAACAAGAAGCTATTCTCAATCATTATAAAAACTGCCTGGAGAGTGGAATTTAAATATTTCTTGCTTCTTTGGCTTGGCACTTACCTAGACACCATTCCTGAGGTTCAGTGGGAAGGAATAAAAGGGTTTCATAAGCCCATGAGGAAGGGAAATGGTATCAAACAGCTACTTGTGACTGAAACAGAGGTTTTCTGTTAAGAGGCCCTAGTTGGCAAGACTATTTTTCCCTAGACAATGAAGGGAAATATGAACATATACATGTGAGAAATACATTTTAAATCTTTTTTTTTTGTGAGGAAGATCAGCCCTGAGCTAACATCTGCCAATCCTCTTTTTGCTGAGGAAGACTGGCCCTGGGCTAACCTCCGCGCCCATCTTCCTCCACTTTATATGGGACGCCACCACAGCATGGCTTGCCAAGCGGTGCGGCGGTACACGCCCAGATCCAAACCGGCGAACCCCGGGCTGCCGCAGCGGAGCACGCGCACTTAACCGCTTGCGCCACTGGGCCGGCCCCCATTTTAAATGTTTTTAAAAGAAAAATTATTGATAGTGGAACATGTTATTGTGATAAAAAAGAAGGAAGGGAGAAAGGAGGAAGGAAAGAAGGAATACCTGCGTATAATTATTCCTTGGACAATTAAGAGGAAAATACAGTAACTTGAATTTGAATTTAATTATTAGGAAATTTATCAGCTCCTAGCTGCATATTCAAATCAGCAATCTGTGAAAATATATATTCTCTAAGATGTAATCTCTGGTTTGACACCAGCTTTCCATCCATGTACCATTACAAAACTATCTATATATACAAGTTTGTCTTACAGCAAGCAATGCAAATTCAGAATGTGTCCAAGTGTACGTGGGGAGACGGGCAGTTGGAGGGAGAGAAATGTCCCCAAGCATAGAAAGCAATTTGACTCTATGTTTTTCTGTTTACATCTTGTGATTCATGAGGGTAGGCACACATCTATCTTGTTTACCATAATATCCAGCACTTAGCACAGAGCCTGGCACATAGTAGGAACTCAGTATGTGTTGAATAA